GGTATGTTGGTGGGGCGAGGACTGGGTCTAATAGCTCCAGTGCACATTCAAGTCTGTTTTTCCTTCTTTCACCTGTTCTGGGCTCTTTGAATTTGGTATCTTCATAGGCCTGATTCTGATACCTTTCTTCCTGGCCCAATGGGGGATGGTTACAGTGGACAAGGAGAGAGCTCACTGGTTGATATTTCAGATTGTTGTTTGGTTTTACATATTTTATACATCCAGGGTCACTTTTCTCCACCATATTGAAAGCTCTATGAGTACACTAGATGTTAAATATTTTTGTTGTTTGAAAGAAAATATTTTTAAAGTGTTTAATCTCATGATGTAATACCAGTTTTCACCAGCCAAATTAGCCAAGATTGTTTTACTCCTTATAAAATCTCAGTACAGGCAAAGTTATAATGAAACAGTCTCATGAATGGCTCTTTGAGATGTAAATTGATACAAGCTTTCTCGAAGAAAAATTTAATACTTATTAAGCATTTTGCATTTTTTCATGTCTTTAGTAGTTAAAAGTGTATGCTCTGGAGTCGGTGTGGATATGGTGTGTGCAAGCAAAAGACTTAACTTCTAAGTCTCAGTTTCTTTTGTCTTTCAAAGAGGGATAATAACAATGCCTACTTCATCTTCCTAATGTGATTCTGTATTTATCATAATTAGCATAGTGCTTGATATACATTCAGAGCTCAACAAATGTCAGTTATAATAATAATATGAATTGTACTCTTTTGACACTGTCTTTTAGGAAATACAGTTCACCCTTGAACAACATGATTTTAGAACAATCTAAGTCCACTTATAGATGGATATTTTTTCAGTAAATACACAATCAATCCTCTATGTCTCTGGGTTTTACAGATTCAACCAACGCATATTGAAAATAATATTTTTAAAATATGTTTTTTATTGATTTTTTTTTTTAGAGGAAGGAACAGGGAGAGAAAGATAGGAACATCAATGAGAGAGAATCATCAATCAGCTGCCTCCTACACCCCGTGGCCTCTTGGGGCTCAATCCACTGAGCCACAACGGCCAGGGGAAAATAGCATTTTTGAACCATGGTTAAGAATCTAACAATATAGAGGGCCAACTGTATACATTGTTCTACACTATTTTATAAGGGACTGAGCATCCTCAGATTGTAGTATCCACAGGAGCTCCTGGACACAATCCTCCACAGATACCAAGGGAATGGCTGTAATTACATTTTAGGGAAGTCATAATTATATACAAATTTTTTACTGCACACGGGGTTGATACCCTTAACTCCCTGTGTTGTTTAAGGGTCACCTATAATTTAAAACATTCAAAGGTGTTATCATTGTTTTACTGAATATCATGGAGCCCCTAAAAATTATGTTTACAAAGAGTGTCTAATGACACATGGAAATGCTGATGATATTGAGTAAAAATAAAGATATTACATGACAATGTTTAATATCACCTAATTTATTAAAAATGTGTATATATATATATATATATAATTGTATAGAAAACTAAGAAAAGTGTCAATGTTAGTATTTCATCTGAAAGACCTACATAGGGTGATTTTTATGCTTATTTAAACTCTGTAAAAATATTCTTAATATTTACAATCATAGTTCACTCTGTAGTCAGAAAAATAAAACCTCAGGATCCCCATTCAAGTCCCACTCAGCCCCTGTCCTGGGAAGAAGGTCACAGTGGTGCCCTGGGCTTGAGCCTGAAGGTTGCTGCTGGTGGTGCCCGGTGGGACTGGCCACTTCAGCCTGCCGTGCCTGCATTCTGTAGGCTGCCCTCGGGAACTATACTTCTCTGATTACAAGTCAGAACACTGGTATTAATCCTCAAGCCCTGGTTGCTCTGATTTTTGGCTTTTTTCCCTGTACATCATCACTCATTTTGAGCTTTCCCAGGATACTTTCCCCTACAAAGTGATTTTGATGTCAAGCTTCTTAAGACAAAGGTGTTTCTTGGGTTTTAGGAATTTGCTTTTTTTTTCTGGTTGGTTTAATAAAAGTCAGTCAACTTTCAGGTTGACTTTAGGGCATTTTTATTTAAGTGCTCTTCTGTTGGAGACTTGTATACGATGGAGGTTTGCATGAGTGTATTACCAGGGGACCCACTCACATTGTTGTTTTGGAATGAATCGATTCATGAGATTGGGTGTTTAGAAGACTTTTTAAATTGTGGATGAATGAATAACGAATGAATACAGGTAGCGAACCAAAACAGTTAGAGAGTTCAACTTTCCAGACTTGGGTAGTTATATGTGTGAGGTAAAACTATAACCCAACTTGGATTAATGTGATGCTTTGGGCAGCCTTCAGTTGATAGTTTTATATTTTTAGTTGTCAGTTATTGGTTTCTCTTTGCCTCTGGGTACTCATTCCATCATGCAAGTGATATGTCTTAAAACTTACCATGAAACCATGGAGAGAAGCAGAGGCCTGAGATTTGGAAGTTGAGGTCAAGGAGAGTAAATAGAGATGAGGGAAAGTATGCAATAATGCTGAATTTCAAATAATGTTGAAAATTGGTCAAGCCTTGCCAGCTTGACTCAATGGCATCGGCCCAAGGACTGAAGGGTTCCGGGTTTGACTCCAGTCAAGGGCGTGCACCTCTGTCGCAGCCTCGATCCACAGCCCATCTGTGGCTTGTACAGGAGGCAACTCATCGATGTATTTCTTTCACATTGATGTTTCTCTCTGTGTGTCTCTTCCCCTTCCTTCTACTTTCTCTAAAAATCAACGAACAAATATCCTTGGGTGAGGATTAATAACAATAACAAAAAAGAATATAGGTGGAAGAATTAGCCATTTCATTCTGTGAGAGAAGGATTGAAATAAAAATGGGTAAATACAGATGTGCTGAGGTTGACAAGGAGGAATTGAAGGTGCTCATGCTTGAAGGGCTGAAAGAAGTAGAAGATGAAATAACCTGGGAAGGGAGGAGGTGGGCAGGTGGGGGTGGTGACTAGAGGAGAGCAATAAAGGTTTAAAAGCAGCTGCCATGAGGTGTGAAGGAGCGTCCATAACTCAGCTCTATCTTCCTTTAGAAATACTGCTACACATTATGCTCCTTTTTTTTTTAACAGCTTCTAGAGATCCTTAAGATAAGACAAATCCATAAATATTTATTTATTGTACCCACGGAATACTCCCGAGACCTGCTTACTTTCTCTTCAAAGCACCCCCTGGGTGATTACTCTTTCATTTCTCTAATTGCACACTAGAGAAAGCTGCAGTTAGCTGCAACTAGTGTTTAGGTCTCTGCACACCTGCAGACCTTGTTGATGCATGCCTGAGCCCAGAACTCTCTGCAAGTACTTGCTTTAAAGAGGAAGAGGCCATGACCTTTCAACTAATCTCGCCTTGAGTCAGTAATGGGCCCAATCGGAACATGTATCCACGCATTTAGGTAATCACAAAGCACAGCCTCCTCCATTTGCTCCAGCAACTTTTAAAGCTTTTCTGAGTCTCCCCTTTGTACATGTAGGGTTGTGCTCCTGGTATGGTGAGTAGGGCACAGGAATAAAGATTTTAAAAAGTTTGGCATTGTGTGGAAACCATACATTAAATCAAGGAAAATTGCCTCCTTATCATATTTCTCTCCATACAGTCATAATCTCCTTTATGAATCTCTGAAGGGCTGTCATGAGGCTTAATTTGGCTCTTAGGATATTCAGAATTGTTCCTAATACTAGCAAAGGCTGCATGTAACTTGAAACTCCCAAAGTTCAGAGGAAGGTCAGGGGCTGTTAGTTTGCCTGCTTCAGGAGGGTCAGCATTTTTGAGGACTTTTGCTTCAACTGCTGGAGTCACTATAAAAGTCCTAGCATGGCTTCTCATGCAGGTGAGTGGGTGCTGGGTATGGGACTCAAATCTGCTTCTTGCACAGGGAACACATCTCAGATGATCAGCAGTTAAGAGAATGTCTGACTGAAGGTATAGAGAGAAAGACCTGTTTTAGTAGAGTTCAGGGATCAGCAATCTGTTTCAATGACAGGATTGTTTTTAGTCTAAACATCAGTAGTTATCCCAGTCTATATCTACAAGACTTTGAGATGAAACAAGACTATCTGGTCCCTGAGTGAGACATTAGCAAGTACAAACAGTGCTTTGAATCCAAAGGGGAAGATGGAAAGGCCTTATAACCAGAGTTCTCTCTTCTTTTTTCCTCGGGCTTTTACTCCTCTTTTATTTTGGTGGGTAATTATGGATTTGTGTATTTCTTCCACCTTTGGAATGGAGGATGGTCAATGGGACTAATTATCAAGACAGATGTTTTCACCTAAATGGGAGAGGAACACAATCAAGTTCTTTAATTAAAGGATGTCTATTATATGGGTGAGAACAAGAGGCAGTGCTCGCCATACCAGGTAATTTGTCTTATAGCTTCAATCATAACTGGTACCACAGAGCTTCTGCGAGCTATGTTTCGCGTCATGAAAAAATTTTCAACTCATAACTCTTTGTCATAAATTTTCCTTTAGTTAAAAATTAAAGTTTTCCACTGTCTGAACTCAATGATTTACTAACTCCAATCCCCCCGTACAAATGCCTGAGACTGGTATACTGCCTCTGGAAGACCGAATCTGGGAGGGCAGTGAGCACAGCTCAGAAACACGGGGAAGGGGGCGCATGCTGTCCTCGAGTTCTCGGAGCTCATGGGAAAGTGGTGACAGTATCGATGATACTGTTTCTGTGAGTCTGACAGTTCGCTGTATACCCCTTGCAAGCATCTCTATCACAAGCTGCCCTAGAACTTGAAGGTCGTTCAATTGGAAAGGGATGAAAACTCAATTGATGTGCTGGGCCTGGCCATTTGCTAAAAACCTCAAACACACAATTTGTGCAGATCCCTCACTTCTGCTTTACTGCCAGATACTGCCTTTGGGCACTCGAGCTGTCTGTGCTGCACCGGTGGTAATTGCAGTTCCATCTGCCCTTTTGGTGTAGTGATGAGTCTTGGTGCTTCCATCATCTGCTTTCTCTGTGCTCCCTTGCCCTCTCCAGACTGCCATCCTCTGTGCCAGCAATGTGCAGCTGATCTCCACAACCCCGGGAGCATCTGCCTGAGGTGTCAGAACACCCAGTTCCTGCTGCTGGGGGACCACTGTGTTCCTGACTGCCCTTCTGGTTATTACGCAGAGAAAGGAGCCTGTAAAAGTAAGTGTTGGACACAGGAGCTGGTGGTGCCTGTTGAGCTTCTCTTTCGGGTAATAGCTGAGGAGACTTGGGGGG